ACTGCTTGAAGGCGGGAACTCGCAAATCGCCGAGATTCAACATTACGTAACAAGGTTTGCATTCGGTGCAATCATCTGCGCCTGTTGCCCCTGCCGCTGGTGCACATAACCGTGCTTCTATTCCATATTTCATTAGAGAATTTCATTGAAAAAAATATTAACCCAAGGACAAAACTCCCCAAGAGTATTTTTTTCAAACCCCAATAATTAGCAGTAACAATGTTTGTGGACACGTGTAAATATGCTGCCTTTTTTTTCAGTGTACTTGACTATCGTGTTATAGCAACGTCCTTGGTTATAGGAATTTTTCCCAATGTTTTTGCACATCTGTAACGTAACCTCATGCCTGCTGGATTGCACATTCGGTGGTAAGATATTATATTAAGTAAACAAAACAGAAAAACTGCAATATAAAGTTGACAAACCATAGAAACACTTGCCTGGGCAAGCGGTGACAAAAGAAAATGTCGATCCAATTGATGCGGCGGTGATCGTTAAAACGTTTTAAACGTTACATTATAGTAAAATGCAGGCAAGATCAATGTTCCTTCCGCCATTCCAGCGGTGTGTATCGGTAATTCCCATCCGGCATGAGGTAAATTAGTACTCCTCCCACTATCCTGTGATGTTACCGCGGCCTGCATATGAATGCACAAATCTGACGAGTTAGTCAATGCGATACTAGCGCATTTCTTAACGGGTTAGTAACAAAAAAGTAACCAGTTAGTAACGGAAAACTAACGAGTTAGAAACGTGATCATAGTAACGGTGGTTAGGGTAACTATAACGGGAACGGTACTGTTAGTACATGTATATACAAGTCATGTATAGCATATTCAACATCTGATATATGTAGTTGCATAATTTATGTATGATATACAATCATGTCAATCATATGTAGATTATTCAATATATGAATGTAGTGTTTTATAGTATATGCGAGTCACGTACATCTTATTCAATGTTTATGTATAGTGTCAGTGTATTTAATTAATGTATAGTCAATATGTACAAATGTATGTATGACATAGTTTTATAGTTCATCTATATATATATATGATTATATACTTATGTATAGTTTCTTTTTCTTTGCAATTAGACCTTCAAAATGTATCAATTATCTGCACTCTCACTCAAGATGACAATACAGGTGCTGGGCTTGGTAAAAATTTTAATGTAACATTTCAAATCCACCGAGACCAAGCCCATAGGGAGACAGTAGGGTGGGGAGAGTGCAGTAAGTGTAGTAGTGAGGCCAGAGGCGGAGGGAAGGAAGCCGAAACAAAGGCCGCAAGGGCCGAGGGGCTAACAATGAATCCATAGAACAAGCGCAGAGAGGCTAATAGTGAATTGGTACAACAAGAGCCGACACTGCGGTGCGGCGACAACTGGCTAACAAGGAGTGGGCTAAAGAACCGAGCATATTGCGAAATTGGTAGATAATAAAGGCGAAACTGACGGACAAACTGAACAACGGGAACTACTAGGTACTAACATGGAAGTTCGCCAAGTCTATTATGTAAACGGTACAAAACTGGCTCGGAGCAGGGCCGCTAGTAGCAGTAACGGGAGATACGTAGGACTGCCCTGTCAGGCCTAATACAGGTAGTCAAACTAGTGCTAAGACATGATATATATACATGAGAACAAGATGCCGCACAAGGCATCGGATAAATCAATAGTAGAACAATAAACGAGAGTTCGCGTAGAGTTCGTATGAGTCTATACTGCGTCCCGGTCCGGTTCCAGGAAACCTTGGGTGATTCTGGTCGCAAGTAGAGTAGCGAACGAATGTCGCTGCTCGAAGGAGCTGTCAAGGTACGACTGGAAAGCGTCCGAGCTCCAGTCACCGAGCAGTTTGATGAGCTGAGGATCTGCTCCGCAATGCCAAGCGAATGTCGCTCCGCCGCGGCGGAAACTATGGCCGGAGTAGTCACCTGACGGCAGCCCAGCGGCCGCGAGCAGAGTTTTGAGATGTGCCACCAGAGAGTCATGTGTCAATGATACCAACCTGCCCGCCGAGCCCGGCACGAGGAAGGCTGGAGAGTCCGATCCAACCGGGAGGAGGCTGCACATGTTGACGTACGCATGTCGTGGGCACAGGGGATGGCCGGGAATGGCCGGCACAGGAAGCAGCAGGACCCTCTGCTTGAACTGTAGAGTCTTGGACCATGTTATACGCACCACAAGTCCGTCCGAAGCGACACGGATAGCACCCCGAGTCAGGTGCTTGCCTGGGTCAAACGCAGACGTCGTCTTAGGCACGAGATTCGACTTCCGAAGTAGGGTGAAGAAGGCAACGGTGTATGCCGCCCACAAGGTGGCATGAAGCGGTCTATTTAGATCCAGGTGATCCCGCAGCCGTAGTAGGATAGCCGGAGTAATCGGAAGTTTACGCTGCGGAATGTGCGGGGATTGTCGGCGGAACGAGGAAAGGACAAGACGTAGCTCGAACGCGTCAGATGGCGGAGGCTCGCACCCTTGGAATCGTTGGAGCAGTCTGGCACCGTGGATGTAGATCTGGACCGTGCTGGGGCTCTTCAATGAGCGTGAGAGGAACTGAGCGTATCTGGTCAGAGTCCTCGCGTCTGTGGGAATGGCTGGAAGCCGGAAATACTCACAAAACAACAGGAACGCTTTCCACTGAGTCCGTAAGTTAGCGTAGGTACCGGCGGCAAATGCAGACCTCTTGGCCGCCTCAACTTCATGGTCCAAGCGCTGAAGCTGCGTGTGATGACCTGTAAAATTACAACTGAGTCAGTAAATCGAAGTGCTGCAACGATACTTCTACCTCACAGACGTGCATGTGTGCTGATCAACGCAGAAACTCGTTCTGGTGGTAGTTGGAAGACGTCCAGCGACTGAGGTGATCAGCAAGTCGATTCTCGAGGCCAGGGATGTGAATGGCGCGAAGCTCGAACTGCCCTACGGCCGCACAGAGCCACAGATTCCGTAAGCAGGTTTGGAGGAACGGGGAGCGGCTCCGGCCAGAGTTCAACACAGTAACCGATGCTTCATTGTCACACATGACTACTATCCTGCTGCCGGCCCAGTGTTTGCCCCACAGCCGTGCGCAAACCAAGATGGACAGTAGCTCCAAACTGTTGATGCAAGGGTTTGACGCGAGCACGGAAGGCGGAAAAGTGGCGTGGAAGTATTCCCCAGTGCTGTGGAGAAAGCCGCGGCAGCCTGTCAGACAGGCGTCTGAACTGAAAACAGCGTCGGGTTCCGTCCAGCCGGTCCGCGGAAGTAAGGAGACACCGTTGTAACAAGGTAAGAACGTAGACCACCATAGAAGGTCTTTGCGAAACTCACAGTCTATACCCAGCCGCTGGTGACGATCCGAATAGCGTCGCAGGAACAATATCATCCGTGAAACGAACAATCTTCCAGGTCGCACGCATGACCCCAAGAAGTGTAGCTTTCCCAACAGAGACTCGACCTCATTTCGGCGAACACTGGTCTTGACACGCCAACGGTCCAACTCAGCCAACGTGTCGGAAAGTCTCTCCGGTGTCACTTCGATAGTCATGCGAATAGAGTCCACTGTGCGACCGAGAAAGACAATACGAGTGGACGGCGGTGTGGCTTTGTCGTCCGCCTCGATTAGTCCGAGGTACCGTAATAGCCGACCTAAAGTATCGAACGCTAACTCGGCCCTGTGCGGAGAGTCTGCGCCGCCGAGATCGTCCAAGTAGTTGACACAACGAAATCCGCATCTATTATATATGAACGCGACGGCGTCGGTCGTGCGCTGACACGCCTGTGCGCTATAACGTAAGCCGAAGGGACAGACCACGTCCGCGTAAGCGTTACCACGCCAGGAGAATCCCAACAGGTGATAATCTGCAGGGTCCACGAACAACTGTCTGTATGCGCGGCGAAGGTCACGTTTAAACATGAGGCAGCCTGTGCCGGCGTTGACAACTAACGCAACGAAATCATCCATGGAGGGGTAGCGAAGCCGATGTGGCTGACCGAGATAGGTCCCGGTGGGGATCCCGTCGTTAACTGAAGACCCGGGCGGGTAACTAAAGTCCACTACGATGCGACGATCCGGAGAGGCTTTCTTCGGCACCGTCTGCAACGGATTGCACACCAAACCGGGACTGAACGTGGCCGGCGACAACGGCCCTATTGTTGCTCCGTGCGACAACTCAGTGCTGATGAACCTGTCCACATGACTGGAGTACTGCAAAGCCGAGGGGTGGTTGGTGCGCGGCACTCGCGGTTGTGCGGATGACTCGTAATTAACTGGAAAGCCGAACTCCAGGAAGTCACATAAGACAGTGTCATGAAAACCATCTAGGAGACCCCGCCATGCGGAAACGTGTAGCTTGGTGGGTACTGGAATGCGCTCGGACTTAAAATTGGGTACGCCTGACTGTCGAACCCGAGCATGCCAACTCGCGAAGTCCGCTACGCTGGGTGTTGGCCGATCCGCGGGGGAATCCGTGAGGAACGTACATAAGTTCATTCAATAACTTGACAGCAGAAGAATCGAAGTCCATTCCGCTCGTGCGGAGATCTGACAACATTACATCCTCACCTGAGGAAATTACTCGGGACGCTGGCCGAGCCAAGTCCGATCCGCTTGAGCGGACATTTGACAACAATACATCCTCATGTGAGGAAATAACTGGAGACACTGGCTCATCCAGAGCCGACCCGCTCATGCGGAGATTTGACAACAATAAATCCTCTTGTGAGGGGACAGCACGTGCTGCAGTGAGTAAACTACACGGCTCCGACACGTCTGAAGAGTCCGGCTGTGATAAGCACTCTTGCGTAACACTATCACTAAGATAAACAACGTTCATGTCGCAATCCGAGAAGAAGCCAGAAGGGCACTGTTCAATGAGATCGGGATACAATGAAATACTAAATAACAAATTGTCACGTACCGAATGTTGCAAATTGTCACTCACAGAATGTTGCAAATAGTCACTTACAGAATGTTGCAAATTGTCGCTGACAGAATGTTGCATGTCCGGAAGTAGTCATGCGGAAGACGACTTGACGTTGGCCCCGTTATCGGTAGATGAAGCACGTTTCTCTTCGGCTTGCTTCCTGTGGCAGTCAGCGGCTGAGTGTTTGAACCTCTGCGAGGTCTTTTTCCAGCAGTAAGAACAAAGGTGGTCAAAACGACACGTATCAGCGGCGCACTCGTTCCTAGAGAACCGAAAGCAGAAGCGTGGAGGATCGGATTTCTTGGGCTGTCGACTCGCGGCGGACCCGGCAGGCTTGATCTTGAGCGGATCGGCATCAAAGTAAATCTCCTTCAGGGCTACCCAGTCGTCCGACCATGAGCCTGGCTTCCGGAGCGCTTGCTTGACCGCCGCTGCATGAAAAGACCGAACCACGGTCCAGTCATACCTAGCCAGTTTGTTACACGTATATTCCAACAGTGCTATGCGCCCCATCAGTTCATAGAAGGCTAGGGTAGGCCGGGATTGCGCAATAAACCCATACAGCCAGCCAGGAATTCTTCCATCTCGAGCTCGTCATACTTCTTCGTTTCCGCTGAATGAAAACTATGGACGAAAGACTCAGGAGAAAGGATTGCCTTTAAGTTACCTTTCTCTGGCTTCTTGCCCGCGCCGACAAGATCCCCATACTTTGTGGATACGAGGCTCTGAAGCGCGGCATCTTCGCGGAGCTGGGCTAACGTAATGTCTGCGTGCCCGAAATCCACATGCTTGCGTTCGTCTTCTTGAGTTTCGTCCGTCTTGCTCCCGTCCTTGGCCGGAGGAAGTGGCGAGGTTGTAGTGGTGTCTGTGGCCAATTCCTTCTCTAGCGCATCCACTTCCCGCTGAAGCTTCTTCAACTCTAGGCGCTGGGTAAGCTCTGCCTTGCGCTGTTGTAGCTCGGCCATGGCGCCTTGCATGCCTTGACCCACAGCGCCGTTGTCTTCCAGAATCCCCGTGCAATCCTTGCCAGCAACGCCCGATTTGTGCAGGGCGACGTCCAAATGGCATCCTGGACACTTCTTCGAACGTTTGGGAGCCATATCTTCCGAAAAATTGTCGGATTTGAACGAGAATTTTTGAGGATTTTTTCGAGGATTTGCTAGAGTGACTGCACTAACAGCACGCTACTAGAACGGAAACCGAATGCGACCTCGGGTCGGAGGTCAGAAGTCATTTCCGTGCAGTCAATTAACTGATTTGGTTCTGCGCCCCAAATACTGACAAATCTCTTTATTAGTATTTGCATACCTGCAATAAGATTGTGAGATATTATATTTTTGAAGGCTAAGTTGAAATGTCTTGATATTTGGTAGGTGGGTAGGTCTTCATGAGACGTGGAACTGATTAAATTTTGGGCCCCCTAGCAACTTGTTATGGTACTGCAGCTGACCCGGTTTTGATATCTCGTGATATATCTAGACATGCTAAGGTGACGAAATTTGGATGGTCATCATCATAGCTTGTCGCCAATCCACTCCAACCAGTTCCGCGCTGCTTCATTGGCCTCCTGGAGATCTGTGTCTGTGCAGGTAGGACCAAGCCTGCAACCGTGCATCAGGTGCTGAATGGATGGTACAAATGTAGGTAGCTCTTGTGCTCGGGAAGAAGTGACGTGAGTTACGGATACAGATACAGATGTCACAAGGTATAAAATTCCCACCATTAAGAAATCACATCATGAATTTTCACATTAATGATGCAAATTAGGTTATTATTTGCAAAATAGGTATCTGATAATATTCCACCTATGATAGATTACATACATTACATGACATTGTATGAAAGTACTATTATGTAAAACACTGTAATTACAGAATTTCCTCCTAAATTATGCAAATTAACTCTTCATTTGCATATCTTGCAATTAATTGTGTACATCTCTAGATCTCTACATGTATAAGCTACATGTACACTGTGTACATGTACCTACAGTGTACATACCAAAAATGATGAAAATATGTTGTTCCTATCTGTACTTATCTGCTTTAAAAGATTTTGCCACAAACTCCCCTGCAGTTCCAGACCAAGGTTCCAGGTCAGAGTTTAAATCTGACCGGGGTTCCAAATAACTCGCCGGATCTGTGTGGGTGTCACAGTAGGTTTGGCTCCCCATTGTTCGGTGATAATTATGGATTTTCAAATAGGTTTTGAATTGACCAAAAAACCTTAGGATTGTAGTGTTTTTCAGCATGGTGAAGTTGGTCGGTCAGCATAGCGCTGTTGGTATTAGTACATGAGCAAGGGTAATGCAGTTTGTCACCTGATGATCCAAATAGCTGCATTCCATGTCAGTGGAGATTGTGAAAAACTTATCGCAACAACTTTTTTTTCATTTTACAAACAAAGTACGAAGTAGTAAGCTATTTCAGCATATAAACTGTTACCCTGTTTTTTCCAGCCTCCTTTTCTTGGCAGAATTGTAGCCCTTCGGCCTGAGGGTGTCCGTGGCATAGAGGACAAAACCCACACTACTTATTCCTGACAGGAAAAGCTATCTGTAACCAAAAAGTCAAGATCTTAGCAGGTTCAGGACAAAAGATACTAAAACTGGAAGTTCTGCTGCAGTACCAATGTCAGCCATCAGGAGGCCCATATTTGACCTTCACCTATGACCTATCAACATACAAAATATCATCACAATCCATAAAGCCAATCTTTAAATCATGCTGACTACAAATGTGCAGACACACAGACAGACAGAGAGACACACACACACAGACACACCAAAACAATACCTCGGAGTCCATTTTTCATGGAGGACTCAGGTACATGTAACCTGCCTGCCTACCTGCCTGTATACACAGGCCAGGTAAGCCCCTTGCTCCCCTCTGTCAGGTTCTTCCAGCCACAATACCTTCATTTTTCATGGAAGTGAAAATTTCATGGTTGTATGAGGTCCCTGAATGCTTGTTGTTGTTGTCCCCAGGGCGAATGTGGGTGATCGGAACCATGATGGGACCATTCAACCACTTCTGGTACAAGATGCTGGATTTCTACCTGCCAGGCACCACCTTTTCTACCATCACCAAGAAAATTCTCTCCGACCAAATTGTTGCTGCTCCATTCTTTGCTTCATTTTTCTTGATAGGTGAGTCTACTTTACAATTCTTTCAGGCAAATGTATATCCCTCTGACGTCACATTGATTATCATGGCTTAAGCACCACAGACAGGTGCTAAACATGATATGATAAACACAGACAGATTTGATTTTGTATGATGGTGTCATATGAATTACATTGTTAGCAGCAACATTTTGGGAGGTCATTTAATATGTAAGGTAGAAACAGAAGTGACCCCAGTATAGATCCCTGTGGGACACCACAGGTAACCCATGTTGCAGAGGACAAGACTGAGCCCAAACCTGTACATGGCTGCCAGTCAGTTAAATATGACTTAAACCAGTCCAAAGCAGAGTCATCCAGTGTTTTAGTATTACAGGGCATTACAGGGCGTACATTAACCCTATCTATAGACCGCGCTTTTTTGGGCTTCATGGGACCGAGGCTCATTCGATTCCCCCCCTCAGAACTGGTGAACGGTATATCATATAACCACCAAATTTTCAGAGGATGGCGTACTAGCGATAATAAATCATAACAACAATTTTATAACATAACAATGACATAATATGGGAGACAGGTATTTCCTTTTACACAACCGGTAAATTCTCACCTTGCTGACGTTTCGGTGTCTGTCAGACACCTTCTTCAGAGCTGTCTGACAGACACCGAAACATCAGCAAGGTGAGAATTTACCGGTTGTGTAAAAAGAAATACCTGTCTCCTAAGTTCTACCAACCTGATGAAATTATTTTCGGAATGACGTGATATAACGTCAATAATGTGATTTTGTTGGCCAAATCCATCTAGATAGGTAATTCCAAGGACATTATACACAGAATAATGTCCTTGGTAATTCCTAAAAAATGTAATGGTATACAACAAAAAATGTTTATGATAGAATATTAGGGTGTATTAAGACTTATGTTGCCCATAGAAACACTGACGTCATGCATATTTAAGCTATCCGCCATCTTGTATCATTAATGTTGAATTTGGAAAAATAGTTTTTTTTCAAGATAAAGCCTCAAATACTTTGAAAATAGACTACATGTATAGAGGCTCATAAAATTTTGAACCTTTTTTGTACAAAGAAATGGAAGCAGTAATGAAATTTTAAGGAAAATAATCTTTACAGATTATGCATTTTTAATGATAAAATTTACATAAAATTACATGAGTTCCTGTTAATATTAAAAAGCAGGTGTAACTTGACATAAAACCCATAAAATTCTATTAACAAAAATTACTAAATTTAGCAAAAAATGCCTGTCAGAAACCCGTTGCCATGGCAACACAATCATTATCTTATTCCACTTATACAAATTTGTTGCCAACAATATTTTAGGAAAAGTCACCAAGTTTGGTGGCCCTAGTGCAAGCTGTTATTGGACAAACGCTATTGGACATCAAAGTTGGCGTGGTCACTTTTAGCCCCAGCTTCAGCTGGAATGCAGATTCTGAAGTGCTTCAGTTTACAATGTTGGTTTGCCTTGTTACAGATAGAACCAATGTGGTATTCCATTTCAAGTCAGCCTGGTGGTGTAGGACCCAAAATCTTCATGATTACATTGACCTGTTTTAGTTCTCTGTTGTTTATCTTGAGTGGTGTATAAACACTGTCTTGGAGAATTGAATGTGTAGAATTTTATGTTTGTGTGGGTGTAGCACCGTGTCACTTTTGTGCAACCAGGTGTCCAGATCTGTTAGGTCTTGTAGATTGGAAGGCATTGTGTTTGGGTTTTTAGCTTCAAGAAAATTTAAATCGTCAACAAACTTCCAACACTTCAAAGCGACTAGGGCACTGCGGCTGTAAGCTAGGGCACAGGACCAGGTGCTAGCAGAGGGTACCGAACTGTACCAGACTGTACCACTAGACTCTCTGACTCGGTGAGTATTAAATCGACGTTTCTTTGTGCGCAGGTCACGATTCGCCACTCAAAATGGCGAGTTCTAGTGAAGGGTCAGACAGGCCTGGCCATCTTTTTGACCTGAGTGTCACTGTGAAAACCTACGCTGTATGGTTTCAAGTGTTGGAACAAAGTCACTAACACTCAAAGACTAGATGAGGCATTAAAATTTTGTTGAGACTCCCAGAGAGCCATAAAGATGAATTCCGGATGAGGGAATTTCTGCTAAACTGTCAAAAGCCGAACTCACCACCACTAACGGGTAAGAGGAGGTTGTAACGAAATTAGACGAACACCTCTGGCATGATGATACGGGCCATCTATGGGATTCCTTTCAAGTTGTTGAATTTGATAGTTTCAGCTGCAGCTCCCTGACAATCGGTGAATATCGTCCATCTTCATCACGGCTATTGACTACAATGTACGTCATGGCGGGAGTTGTGGGCTGGTGCGGGTGTATTTCCAGCTGTGGTGACGTGACCATCACTGACCTGGACTGCGCTGATGACTTGGCAATTCTTGCAGAAGCTCTGGATAATTATACTCTAGCTCGCCCTGCAGACCATGGATACATGGTCTGCAGGGCGAGCTGGAGTATATCATTGAGACCCAACCGCTGGGCCTGATAATCATCTGGGACAAAACCAAAGTCCAGTGCCTTAGCAACTACCTCACCCCCCGGCTGGATTAGTGATCAACTCCCACCATGTGGAGGCCGTAGACAGGTTCTGCTACCTTGCTAACCACTGATTGCAAGAGCGACTCTGACATCCAGCTTTGCATTGGATGAGCCACTTCTGCGATGGCCAGCCTCAACAGTCTGGGCCAACAGGCACCTTTCTCACCGAACAAAAGTCAGCCTGTACTGTAGCCTCGTGCTGGCCATCCTCCTGTATGGGGCCGAGTCCTGGACCCTAACTGCTGCCCAGGAATGCTGTTTGGACGCCTTTGACTCCATATGCCAGCAGAGAATCCTGGGAATCAGGTGGTACAACCATGTCTCCACCGACACCCTGGGAGAGTAAACCAACCAGCCCCCACTGTCCAGCAAGATCCGTTCAGCTCATCTTTGCCTCTTCGGCCACATTGCAAGGGCAGAACCACCCTGGGACTAGGCTCTCGCTCTCTAGTAAGAGAACCACCTCCTCCCACCTGGTCCCCCTCTGAGAGGGGCATGCGGAGCTGAGAGAGAAAGAGAGAGAGTATTATTATCTAAGTGTCACGACAGTGCCACAAAATGTAATTAGAGAAGATGTGATGAAAGGGAAAAATCAGAACAGGGCAATTGCTGTTTTTATGACAAATAAATGACTTGTTCGTTTGTTGTTACACTGTGTTCTTTTATCAAATTTGTGACCTAACATTTGTATTTCTACAGTTAGTATCTTTCAAATCCAGGCATCATGTTTCTTCGGCCCTTCATTGTTTTTATTGTGCTTTCACATTAAACTTAAGGTCTCCATGGACATCATCCATGAAAATTACTTGGTGTGGCCTAAGGGAATAACCTGACACATGTGCAAGCTTTCCTCCTACCGCTGAAGGTACAGAATAGTCCCTCAATGTAAGCAACGTTATCTGATTCCAGGGGTTATGGCCTCCACAACTGTAACCTGCCTGCCAAAAATCATGAACAACTATTTATATATACTCAACTTAAATCGCTAACAATTGACAAACACAAAAGGTCCACTGAAGTGACGTAGGGACGTTCCCTCCTCGAAGTTCATTTTTGTCACTTGACCTTCTTCTCCCCAAAGGTATTCTTGAACATCAATCCATGCCTTCAAGAATTATGCCGCTAAATCCAGTCTCCCACACTGAAGCAGACTGATTTTATACCCTTCTCATGGAAGCAATTACATATAACATCACAAGTTATTTCCTATAGTATTAAACTGTATTTTGCCAGACCAGTTAACTTCAGAATCTGCAAAATAGAGAAATCTGATTACATTACTTGTACCCGGTATAACATATGTCATACTAGACATTTGGTATCTTCATTCCAATCAACAGTGCAGAATATCAGTTATGTCACAAAGTGGAATTGATATTCTCTATCGGTGACAGCCATCTGGCCCTCCCCGCTGTAGGAAGGCAGATTACGATGAACCCAAATGGAGAAGGATGTAGATAAAACACTTTGACATTATGATTCCCCAACATCCTTGGTTTGACAACTTTTACTTGATTAGATTTCTCAGAAACACTTGAATGTGTGGAATGGTATCATCATCTTTTGCAATGATATACACAATACTAGTCTTGCATTTATATGTATATGAATTACTATCAGTGAATTACTACATTGGGGAAACAGAGAGGTCTCTAAAAGCCAGGTTTCAGGAACATACACGGCCTAGCTCTGCCAGTTCAGAGGTGTCTCAACACATCCACATAGAGTCACCCGGACATTTTGTTTCACTTGATGAGGCAATCCTATTTTCACAGCCACTGATGTGTGAGGCTTTCAGTTCAAAGGTGTGAGTCACGGCTAGGAACAATCTTCTTCTTGGCAGCATGCCAACAAGACCTTGTCTCCGGCCGTCCAGAATTCAGGATGTGGATGCATACTGTGTTATCAAAGAACAAGAATGCAAAGATGAGACCAGGAGGAGCCCCAGAGATGGGCCGAGAACACAATGGTGAGCATCTTGAGAACATGGATTTGGTCGGTGTATCGTAGCAACACTGTTTCCAGGAACTGTGCGTGGAAGTAGCGGCTGTTGGAGTAGGCGCCACAGCCTGTACTGCACACATCGATGGACAACATCTCATCAGGGGTGGTGTCCGGTGTCAGCACGATGAGAGACACCCCGCTGAAGACATGTAGAAATTTGTCCCACCAAGTTGAGTCTAAGGTCACGCGAGACCTCGTTTTCGAAGCCACTAGCTTACAAGGGCTGACACCTCTTAAAGTTGAAAACTCGGTGCATGTCAAGTCATTGATATTCGATCCCTTAGGCCACACCAATTTAATTTCTTGGTTAACAGATTTTTCTACAAAAATAATGGAGCGGGCGTCGAAAAAAAGATAAATTGAAAATAGGCCTAGGCATCCTATTGTGGCCCAAAATGGTAACGATAGGAGCCATGAAGTCAACACACCAGGCT